ACACACCCTCCCAAACACAGTCCCGCACTGACACACACCCTCACAAACCGAGCCCCGCACTGGCACACACCCTCCCAAGCACAGCCCTGTACTGACACACACCCTCCCAAACAGAGCCCCGCACTGACACACACCCTCCCAAACACAGTCCCGCACTGACACACACCCTCACAGACACACTCCCGCACTGACACACACCCTCACAGACACAGCCCCGCACTGACATACACCCTCACAGACACAGTCGCACACTGACACACACCCACCCAAACACAGTCCCACACTGACACACACCCTCACAGACACAGTCCCACACTGACATACACCCTCACAGACACAGTCCCACACTGACACACACCCTCACAGACACAGCCCCGCACTGACACACACCCTCCCAAACACAGTCCCACACTGACATACCCTCCCAAACACAGTCCTACACTGACACACACCCTCCCAAACACAGAACCGCACTGACATACACTCCCAAACACAGTCCAACACTGACATACCCTCCCAAACACAGCCAAGCACTGACACACGCCCTCCCAAACACAGTCCCACACTGAATCACACCCTCACAAACACAGCCCCGCACTGACACACACCCACCCAAACAAAACCCCGCACTGACACATACCCTCCAAAACACAGCCCTGCACTGACACACACCTTCCCAAACACAGTCCCACACTGACACACACCCTCCCAAACACAGACCCGCACTGACACACACCCTCACAGACACAGCCCTGCACTGACACACACTCTCACAGACACAGCCCCGCACTGACACACACCCTCCCAAACAGCCCCGCACTGACACACACCCTCACAGACACAGTCCCACACTGACACACACCCTCCCAAACACAGTCCAACACTGACATACCCTCCCAAACACAGTCCTACACTGACACACACCCTCCCAAACACAGACCCGCAGTGACACACAACCTCCCAAACACAGTCCCACACTGACATACGCTCCCAAACACAGCCCAGCACTGACACACTCCCTCCCAAACACAGTCCCACACTGACACACACCCTCCCAAACACAGACCCACACTGACATACCCTCCTAAACACAGTCCAACACAGACATACCCTTCCAAACACAGTCCTATACTGAAACACACCCTCCCAAACACAGTCCAACACAGACATACACTCCCAAACACAGCCCAGCACTGGCACACGCCCGCCCAAACACAGTCCCACACTGATACACACCAACCCAAACACAGTCCCACACTGACACACACCCACCCAAACACTGTCCCACACTGACACACACCAACACAAACACAGTCCCACACTGACACACACCAACCCAAACACAGTCCCAC